AAACTCAGCAAAATATTCTAAAAGAGTCCAGTAGCCCATAATAGCATTGGGTCTTCTGTTTAACTGGTCAGAATAATTTTCTTGTGGTAAAAGAAAACCTACATAAAGCAAAAGCTATGTATAAACTAGAGAATTATCCATATGAAACTTATGATAAAGAAAAAGTCAAATAATACATAACCAAGAGCTACAACTTTAAAAATTATTTTTGGCTTTAAATCGACATAACACATTGCATAAGTAACAGGTTTTCAACTAGAAAAAGTTATTTTCTTTCTTGTAAATTTTAAAAATTATTTTTCTATATATTTATATATTGGAAATTTAGAGTACTAATAAAGAGGTATTTCAGTTGATAAACTTAACCATTTAAATTTTATGTAACATGTTTAGTGGCACTTAGGAAAAAGTGATGCTCAATGGTGCATCACAATGATACTCAATGGTGCTACAGAGCTCTGCAAACCCTAAAAATTATGTTTTAGGGTTTGGAACTCTGAAAGGATTAAGTCAATATGTTCAAGAAAATGAACTTCAATTTCTATGGACTTTTCATCAATATCAAAACGATCATATTCACAATAGGTTTAGCTCTTTAGCAACCTGACATTTACAGACGAAGATATTTTTCTTATTTAGTAAAATAAAAAACACAGTATTGATAAGTTGTGTAATTATAAAAAGAAATAATGCTTAGAGGATTCAAAAAATAAAAAAGCCTAGGAAGTATAACAAATTCCTCTACTAGTCTCATGTTCCTTTCTAATGTGGTCCCAATCTTCTTCACAGTAGTTCTGTCTCCTTACCTCTTGCACTTAAATCCACTCTGACTGGGTGCTGCTTCCACCATTCTATGAAGCAGCTCTTGTCAAAGTTACCAATCACTTTCTGTGCCAAATTTCTCAGAAAACTCACCATTTCTATCTGCTGTAGTTTAGATCTGGAGTGTCCCTCAAAGGCCTGTGTTAAAGACATTGCCCACAGAGTGGCCTTGGTGGGAAGCAAGGGAGCCTGAAGGAGGTCTGGCCTGAGTCCGCGGGTGGGGCGGGGTGCCAGCCCAGGCAGGGACCCTGGGCCCTGAGCTCTTCCTCTTCCTCTCTTTCCTTCCTGGGCTTGACGTGTACAGTTCACGTACTCCCTCACCATGTGCTGTGCTGAAATGTGCCCAAAAGCAATGAGGCCAACTGGTCACGACTGAAGCCTTTAAAACTAAGCTAAGATAAGCCTTTCCTTTTTAAAGGTGACTTATCTCAGGTGTTTGTTATGGTGACAGGAAGCTACACATCATCTTAGTTTACTGTGTTTGATAAGGATACATTCATAACTTTCCTCATTTTTGAAATATTGGGCTTTTGTGACACTACATACTGAATTTTTTTCTCCTTTTCATGGTTTCCTTGCCCAGTCTCAATTGCACCCTGGGGGCAGGGCCAGCATGGTAGACCCGGGCATCAAATCCCCAGCTCCTGTGCCTGCTTGCAGGTGCTTTAATCTGCTGAGTTATTTGGCTGGCCCCAGCTTACTTTTAAAAAACAGCTAGGTATGGTGGCATACACCTGTAATCCCAGCAGTCAGGATGATGAGGCAGGAAGATCTCAAGTATGAGGCCAAGCTGAGATACACAGTGAATTCAAGCTAGCCTGGCTTACATAATGAAGCCTGTCTCAAAAAAAAAAAAAAAAAAAAGCCCTCATTCTCTTGGGATTGTTCATATTTATTGATGCTCTCTCCCTAGGTGATCTGGACCCGTCTCCTGGCCTGCAGTATTATAAATATTCTAGGTCTCATACTTGTATTTCTAGACTTGACAACATCCCCAGCCCCAAATGAGCTCCAGAGTCATACTCCCAACAATCTGACATTTATATAGGGACTAAACATATGGAAAACAGAATTCTTAACCCCTCAAACTCAGCTCAGCTAGCCTTCAGACACTGCCCACAGGTGACTGCTCTTCCAGCCCTCTCTTCCCCTGCAATAACACCACCATCAAATTAGTTCCTTAATGCACATAATTTAGAATTCTATTTGATTCCACCCTTTTCATTTCTACAACCAAACTGCATGTACGTAACCAACTCAATTAGTCAGTTCTTTTGCTACCAATGTTCAAATGCTTCCTCTTCTGGAGTCAAAAAACATCAGCACGTTAAAAAATAACATCAATTATTACTTTTATTCGATATTTGTTACTTAAAATTTTTTTTAAATCAAATTTTCACTTTTGTGATAGGGCAAATGAATTTTTTCCCAGTGTAAGTTTTCTTAGTTTGGTGTTTTGAGACAGGATCCTGCTGTGTAGTGTAGATTGGCACTGAACTCAATATATAGCCAACCAAGGCAGGACATGAACTTGCAGTGATCCACCTGCCTCAGCTTCCAAGTGCTAGGATTACAAGCATTCATTACCACACCTGATTCCAGCTTAGTTTTACAGAAGTTAGAACCTTCTCAGAGAACTATTTCTTACCTATTGATATTCCACTAGAAAGAGTAGAACTCTCAGCTTGCCCTCGAGATGGTGCATGAGGCTCCATGACGCTATCATCTAACAGATGTCTTGGCCCTGCATTTGGGAACGTTGCACTCTTAAACTCTGCTGTGTTCATTTTATGAATGAAACTGGAAACAAGGAGAAATATATTTCACGACTTTTACTATGTTATTAATTCAGGATATACAAGATACTTTAAAATTTAGGATATAAAAGATTTATCTGCTATCCTGAACTTACTTCTCAACTTTCATAGTAGGAAAGCCTTAAACTAACACTTTAGGGAAAATATTTAGGGGAACTTGGCCATATTTACCTGTGTAATGAGAACATATTTTAACTGCATCTCAAGCCTCAGATGTATTTCACATTCACTTTTAGAGAATAATTATGAAGTTAAATAAAACCTTGTTTTTATTTACACTCAGGAATAATTTCTAGGGTTTATTACTTATTTTAAGGACTTTCTTGATATAAAGGTTATGATTTAAAAGGAAAATGGTACATTGTTATTCCAATTCTATTTATAATAGCTCTGTCATTTATCTTCCTCAAGTATGAAGGAAGTGGTTGAAAACAGCTGAGTTTCAAATTCTGGTCAAGACAAAAATAGATACTTTTAAGCAAACAAGATGTCTTACTCAATTAGAAAGACTGTCATTAAAAATATTATGCAAAGATACTATTTATTATCAGTTTAAAATAAATGCAACTGCAAACAACCTAAAAATTGAGAGGTAAATTAAGAATGCTGACTTATAACCCAAGCTATGGCACTTTCTGTGTCCATGTGGGATAAGGTTCCGAGGAGACGGAGGTGTCTGGGGCAGCAAGGCTCCTTCAGCTGCTATACTTTTTCTTCCACTCTGTGGCGATGCTCCTACTTCAGGACCTAAGGGTTCAATTGAAACAGAGAGAGGAAAATTTTCATGTGGCTTCAAAGGATTAAGTTTAATCCCTTGATATACAATGTGGTTAAAATTTTTTTCTTTTTAAAATTTATTTATTTATTTATTTATTTATTTGTGTGTGTGTGTGTGTGTGTGTGTGTGTGGCCAGCTCAGCCCACCAGGGGACAGGGCTGGCTGGCATGTGGTGCTGGGGGATTGAACCGCAGTCCCTGTGATTTGCTGAGCTTGTTCTAAGTAGGTGCTTTAGACCAATGAGCCTTCTTACCAGCCCAATGTGGTTAAAATTTAACTGACTTGAAGATGAGTAATACTGATTTTCCAAGACCTAGAGCACTGAATCCCTAACCATACAAAAAAAAATTCATTAATTCCTATCTTTTTTTACTTGCACTAAGAGGCAGTGTAAATATGGTTTCCACTTACACAGGAAGAAATAGAATTACAAGAAACTGGCTCAAGATCCCACCTCACAGACAAAACCTGATCTATGATGGGCATGGTGGCATACACCTATAATCCCAGCACTCACGGGGCTGAGGCAAGAGGATTGCCATAAATTTGAGGCCAGTGTGGCCTTGGATAGTGAGTTCATGGCCAACCTGAACTGCATAGCTAGACCCTGTCTCAAAAACAAAACAAAAGCCAGAAACCACCTACTCTCCCTAAAAAACAGCAATAAAAAACCCCAAAAAACTAAAAAAACCAAAAACTTGGTCTAAATACCTAGGTCTTGAGTCTTGGGTTCAGTGCTTTTATTTTTATTCTTTGCTTTTTTACTCATGGTTTCCACCTCCTTTAACAGAAGGTTCAGGGTGCATTACAATTTACATGTACATATACCACATACAGAGTTCTGTACATTATGGCTTTAAGAACTAAAAACAGGCTGGCCAGATAGCTCAGCGGATTAAAGCACCTGCTTAGGCAGACACAGGGGCCAGGGGTTTGATCCCCGGGCCTTCTGTGCGGGCTCTGCTCCCAGGGCACACTGAGACAGCAAGTGAGACTAGGCATGGTGGTGCATGTCTGTAACCTCAGCACTTGGGAGGCTGTAAACGGGAGAATCACTATGAGTCTGATCTACATATTGAGACCCTGAACACCCTGTAGACCCCGCCCTAAATACAGGAAAGAAAAAAAAAAAAAAGAAAGAAAGAAAAGAAAAAAGAACCAAAAGCAAATTTTAAGGGATTCTGACTGAAATATTTTCCTCTACTTGAAATGCCCTTCTTCTACATATTGTTATGGCATGTTTCCTTACTTCTTCATATCTTATTAGACCATTTTCAAATATTTTAAGAATGTACAATGGAAGGTTTAGTGTGAAATTCTATAATGATAATAATTAGTTGGTTATTTTTATTTTTGGTACCAGGAATTGAACTCAGTACCCTGCATTTGCCAGGCAGGCACTTATGCTACTGAGCTATATAATCCTGGCTCAATCGGTTATTTCTTAAATGAGCAATTTCTTCAATTGTATGTTTCATTATTAATGGGATAGTATGTGTATACCATAATAACACAACAGATAAAGTTAGAAGCATTTTAAAAATAACTTTAGCTCTTGGCTCAGCATTTAAGTAAAGTTCTAAAAATTAATTTAAACTAATCTGAATAATTATTCAAATTAGTACAACTTTGGCTTTAGACCACAGACCAACTCTCATTGTGTAAATTGTATTCTTAATCTAAAAATGAATATTCATAATCTCTCATTATTTTTTCTTGCACCTGTTTTCCTTAATTAGGTAACATTTACCCTTCTTTTACTCTCTAGCCCATATGCCCTTCCTCTAATCCAAAAATAGCAGAGACAGATACATTTTATAGATAAAAATCAACTTTTGCATAAAATATAAGATAGCTAAGTACTTATTTACTTTGAGATATATTTTTTCCTATTTGGTTACCAATTCATTATTTAGAAATGAGAGAAGACAATACACTAACCTACTAAATCTTCCCTGGAAGCAGCAGATCGAGGTGTGCTTGTCCCTGGTTCTATCTTTAATGAGAGCCTGAATTTGAAAAAGACACAACACAGGAAATTATGATTTGAAAAAATAATATTAAAGTCATGCATTTTCTCAAAAGGCAAAAATTTTTTATAAACTAATGTGACATTTAAAAAAATTTTTAATATGACTTATTATATTTTTCTTCCAGAGAAATCTTTATGATGTTAAATTACCTCTTTTATCCAAAGCTGACCATATGGTAATTTTAAGAAACATTAACAAGGTGGAAAAACCTCAAAATGATATAATAAAAAACAAGTCTTTCAAACTCCCTTGAAGGTTCCAAACACTTAAACATATTTAAAGATATTTGCTGAAGGACTAAAAGACAACTGATGTATATTTTTACATTTAAGTGAAGACAACTTAAATTCAGGAATGTTGAGATACATGTATGTATGTAAATTATATAGTATTATGCATATTATTTCTAGAATCTCTACTGGATAAACTAATGAACTTCAACACTGAAAATTTCAAATACACTTTATTTAAAACTAATCATCCGACAAATCAACTAACACAGCTTATCTGCACCAGTGATGGTGAGCTTATGGCATGAGTGCTGCACTGGATTGTTACCAATGAATGCTCTAAAAGGTTCACCATCACTGCTCAATGCAAATAAAAAGCTGTGAAATTCCTATTAAATTCCTTTCCTAAATCAAACCTTCTTGTTACTTTAGTTCTATTTAGGATTATATATCTAGCTGAGTTCCACAGCAAACGAGATTATGATTCCCATAAGAATAAGCAATTCTGTTTGGCCCTAACCTTCTAAGGTCAATTAAGATTCAGGACATATGAGAACTTGTACTGTAACATCATGTACCTCGGTAGTGTCCCAAATTTTCTGATCAAGA